ATATATATATATAAACATACCCTAAATAATACTTCAATAAAAGGAGTCACACATTCATGAATAGATCCATTCATCCTGAACTCTGAATGCAGGGAATTCAACAGCTCATGGACAGAATAGGTGCTCGTTGTATGAAAACAGCGGAAATGGAAAAATCAAAAAACAAAACAAAACAAACAAAATCTGACTGGTAAAGCGGGTAGAGCTATGGCTTTTTCTTCGTCAACATTTTGGACAAAAAAAAGGAGAAAAATACAGCTAGCTCGGTGTAGAAATAGGAGCGTGTGCCTTTTTTTTTTCTTTTGGTGCATTTTTCAGACTAACAATAATCCGTTTCATTCTTGCTGTCATGATCCAGCGGTTTTTGAAAAGTTCACTTTGCGGGATCTTTACAATAGCTGCAAATTGCAGGGAACCTATCGTTTTTACTAAATAAATAAAAAAAACAACAACAAACAACTGCACCTGTAGAATACCACCCAGTTTGTTTGTTTGTTTTGGTAAGTGTTTTTCGACGCTCGCACCTGCATAAGGCCATATGAGCGTTCACGACGCATTAAGCATTTTCAGTTTGGTAGGAATTAATTTTGAATTTTGCCACGGTGGCGGCCGAAGCCTACTCTTATCGATTTTAGGACCACTAAGGGATCGTTGACGTGCGCAACTTACTCACGTGACCTCTGATAGTTTTACGCCCTTATTGGAGAAGACAAGGTCTTCGATCTTACCCACCATAGTATCAAAGGTGGAGCTGAAAGACAGAAGTAAAAAGGAGCCAAGGAGTAGCAGTAGAAAGGCAGCAGAAAGAGTCAGGGCCCAGCAGAGGGTGTAAAGAAGGGGAGGGGTGGGGGTGGGGGGCCTAAAGGGAAGACGAAAGCAGATGACAAAGCATGATTGGAGACCAGAAAAGGTGGTGAAAGGAGAACATCTTTATTTTTGAGAACCTTTTCCCCATCGCTGTCAGGATTTGAATCCGGGATCTATTGAATGAGAGGCGACCATCATAACCTCTAGACCACGAGAGGGGAAAAGTGGGAAATGGTCGTTTGTACAGGTGATTGTCTTGGACATGTGGTCGTTAGAGCAGGTTCGACAGATAATTCGCTTGGATTTCCCGGTATGTGACTTTGTTGAAGCAAAAATGTCCAGATGGATTTTAGAACAGCCTTCGCCATACCCGCTAAAAACGCAATATTATTATTCAGCAGGGCAGAACGACTGAAATTTGATAATTCGCCTCCGAGATGATATGGGGATTTGGAGGG